GCTAACTGCTGGTCCCATTTTTTTTTTTTGTTTTTTGTTTTTTGTTTTTTTTTTTTTTTTTTAGAGTTGTAGTATTCTTCTAGGTATATAGCAGCAATATTAGAAATTCATAGACAATAATCTTTACATTTTGTTTTTATAATAATATTAATAATGCCTTTTGGAATCATTAGATACATTTAACATACTTAGTGTATTTTTCTTGTCTTTTCAAATTTAGGTGATTAAGAATGCTGAATATATTGAAAAATACTTTAGTTTTGTTATTCATCTGTCATCTCAAAAATACTTCCCAGTGGAAGTTAGTTTTCACCTACAAAATTGTAAATCTCATTTCCAAGTTCATATATCCTGCTTTTTTTTTGGTAAATTTTCACTTGCAATAATAGTATATTAGTGAGTAAACTTTTCTCCACCTCTGACCAAAATAATTTAAAAAGTCAATTATTCAATGAATTTTCAATAACATAATGTGACAGTTCCCTTAAGGTTTTCAATACATCAATGTAGAAAAACCAAAATGCTCTTTATATAAAACTTTATGATATAGAAACAGTGAATGGTAATCTCAATCTATTTTTCATGCCCATGTTTTCTCATCATATCTGTCTCTCCACTACTTACAAATCTTATATGTTATCCCAGTATTATTTATAGTGATCAGCAAAGCATTTTCTCAATAGTTTAAACTCATTTTTGTGAAATTAATTTTAAATTATGCAAACACTCCTCCTTAAAATTTTGAACATTTTCCATCATAAACTAAAAACATTGCATGATGTCATTGTTTCTAAAAACTTGTACACAAAACATGTAAGACTCTATAACTGCATAATAAACATGTTTTCTAAATGGTTCACAGAAGTACTTATTAGACAACACATTGTTGTTTTATTACCTAGTCTGTCCACGGATTCATCATCAAATACCATATATATCACCTCCATTCATGATAGAATGAACATGATAGCCATGACACCCTGCTTTACATTGCCATTGGATATACAATGAAATAAGATTTTCTTATTACTTAGTCAAAGACTTATTAAATAATTATAGCAAATTTTATATCTTTTTTCCTTTGGAAATTTTCAGACTTATCAATAACTTCCTCATTCTGTTTCCAAATATCTTCTTAATTTTAAGATTGAAAGCATTGAAATTTTATTTGGCAAAAAAAATGAATATTTTGTTCACTTTTATTTTAAATGACCACTTTCAAAAAGTCTCAGACACTATTTTCTATCTGGAATCTGGCTTAAGCAGAATAGAAGTTTGCATTAAATGACTTTTTTTTTTTTTTGGCCTCTACATATAGTATTGAACTTGATCCGCCTCTATGTATTTTTTTACTTCATTCTTTTTTTAAAAAGATCTGTTTATTTATTTATTTCATCAGAGAGAAAGACAGACAGAGGAGAGACAGGCATCCTCAGCAGGGTCTCATGATACTGTCCTCCCCTAACACAGTCTCCCTCACCAAGCCAGGGTCACAGGCACGTATGCATGTCCAACATGTATAGATCAACCCAGGAACTGAATCCTAATCCTCCCTGTGGCTTTCAGCATTTCAGAGCTGCACACTACCACTGTACCACCAGGATAGGACCCATTGTTTTATCTTAATAGTCAAACAATCAACTTACAGAAAAACAAGTATTTGTTCAAATATGAAATATTAAAACCAACTTGTAAAATGTCACACTTTTGAATAATAGTACTATTGGGAACCAGCAGTTAGCGTAATGGCTATGTCGCTGGACTCCCACATAGTGAACCGCGGTTTGCATCCTGGACCCGGTGGCTTAAAACTCACGCCAGGCGTGTGTGCGTGCGTGCTCAAGATCCCAAGAGGAGAATGGAGGAGAAGGGATTGCGGCATGACCATCCCCTCTCGCTTTCTGTCTCTATGTCTCTGTCTGTCTGGCACCCTATAGCGAAAACCTCTCCAAAAATAAATAAATTAATTAAATAAATAAATAAATAATAGTACTATTTACCATTTTCAGACTATTGTTGAGAGAATTAAATTAGTTGATATTTGTAGAGCTTATAGAAGTACTTGTCCATTACAAGCCACAGTGGAAGTGTTTTTTATTACTATTATATGTCATTGCTTCTGGTCCCTTCACTTCCCATGCTGCCTTTCTCTAAATAGGTACTTTGAGAGACACCACTCTATTCTTCACTTGTGTTTTGATTCATGTAAAGTATCTTATCCCTTATTGGGGGAAAACTCTATTTCTGTGACTGTATGTAGATGACCCCATCAACTTTTTTATTGGTGTTCATGTAGACATTCATTCATTTATTTACTAACTGTTTGTAGAGTTTCCATTATCTGTCTGGCCCATAACTAGGCAATAAGTTTCCAATTTCTCTTTCTCAGAGCACTTAGACTTGACACAAACTGAACTTACTGACTTTCCATTCTGTGTCTTTGTATCATTTTTTCATCCTGGGAGACACTATTCTGTTCATGTATTTAAACTCTATCCCTCCTTCAAGGTATAATTCAAATCCAGTTTCTTTCCATGACAGCAGCCCAGTGGTTCCCAAACTTTTTGCCATAGCAAAGTCATTTGGAGAGGCTTGTTAAAAATAGATTCCTGGGCCCTAACTCCTTATGAGCAGATACATGATGATTCTGATGCAGTCAATTAATGTATCTATGGGATGATTGGAAGGTTCTTATTATCTCCCTTGAGTCACAAATTTACCATAACACTCATCTTACACGTGATCTATTTGATCACAACAAAGCGAGAATATTAACAGTTAACTTTTACATTTCATTTTTTAATTGAAAATGTACTTTTATATATAATCTATTTCCTTTTCTTAACATTCATGTGAAATAGGTAGGCAGTTGTTTTTATTGTGATTTCCATTTATAGATGAGAAAACAGAGGTTTAGAGAGTGGAAATTACTTTAGTTCATTTGAGGGAAAACTAATATTTGAATTTGAAGTTCTGATATTAAGTCTATTGTTATTACATTCTTATAGTAGCATTTGTGTTTAAGATCCTTTAAAACAGGAGTTGTGTCCCATGAAACCTTGTATATATAGAATTCCTGGAGAAGGTCTTATACACAAGTGCACAATATGTACTTATTGCTTTCATATATAGTCTGCTGAAATAATTAACTGTGTAAATTTCTTTGGCCATGGGAAGTGTATGATCATATTAGTAGTATTTAAACCTAAATGGATGCTTTTCCTTTCTTCATAAAAGCTCCCTATGCATGTTCCCTGTGGTTTTTTATATTACTTTAATAAATCCAATTCCCAAGTAAAGAAGTAATGTCTTTTTTAAAATAAAGAAGATATTCTTGTATTGCTATTTGTTTTAAGTAAGTCCACTGCAATGGATCCTTCATGGTGCATTCCTGTGCCACATCTCTCTGTTCTGTGTCTGTGTGTCATTTGTTCCAGGGATGCCTGCCTCTCTGAGCTGGTGCTGGAATGCAGATGATGCCGTGGCATTTGTTTCCCACAGAGGCCCATTGTTTATTTGGACCATTTCAGGACCAGATAGTGGAGTGACTGTCCACAAAGATGCTCATAGCTTCTTGTCTGATGTCTGTATATTCAGATGGCATACCCAAAAGAAGGGGAAGGTTGTGTTTGGACATATTGATGGGAGTCTATCAGTTTTTCAGCCAGGTAAGAATTTAATTTGTTTAGTCTCTTCAGTTATATTTTTCTTCTCATAATTTGTTAAACAGCAAACATCAGAAGTAAAACATTCTAATGTTAATATAATAGTTGTGAATATATCATCTCACATTCATTCAACTCAGCTCTGCAGATTTTACTTTGAAGTAACTCAAGTCACTAATTTGTTCCATATTTATACTTTTTAAGGCAATTATTTAGTTCTGCACATTTATGGAGAGAATAATCTGAAGGAATAATGTCATATAGCTGGAAGATGTGATCGTTTACTAATACTATTCCAAAATATGTTCCTAGTTTCTTTCTGATGCCACAGGTCCTTAGTAAAGCTTCTGAGTCTGGCATATAAAAAGAATTAATAACACTTTAAGCTTCTGTAAGTTAATGACGTTGAATAAAGGCACTGAGGAATTAGTTCAGTCTCATTTTTTTTTTAAATTTAAGCAATTAAAAAAATTGAAAATCGGGACCAGCAGTTAGCATAATGGCTGTGTCACTGAACTCCCATGTAGCCGACTGCGGTTTGAGTCCTAGACCCAGTGGCTTCAACTCATGCTGGGTGCTTGTGCATGTGTGCCCATGATCCTGAGAGGAGAATGGAGGAGAAGGGATTGCGGCATGGCCATCCCCTCTTGGCGGGTGATTTCTCGCTTTCTGTCTTTCTGTCTCTCTCTGTCTATCTGGCGAGCGCACACACCCTATAGCAAAAACCTCTCCAAAAAAAAAAAAGATATACTGGATTTATATTCTTTATCATCTCCCTTCTTTGTATGTGCTCTATGTTATTCTATCTGGTTTTACTACCTTAACATGGAGAGGGTTTCAATTGTTTGTTGATGATTCATGTGAAGAGGGTTCAGTGATCTGTGACAGTTCCTTCATTTGAATTCGTCATTAAACTCACACCATTATTTCTTCTACGTGTCTGCATTAGAAGCAGAGTCTGTTTTATAGTCAGTCATTAAGGTGCATAACTGAATGACTAGTTCAGAGGCTACCTGTCTTTTGGTCTGTGAATACCCTTCTGTCTCCTGCACTCTTCACCTCTGGCACTCTTCCTTGGTTTGGGGAAGGTATGGACAGCAAAGATGGCTGTGTGCTGTGTGGTTTCTCTTTACACATGTCTGCTCTCTAGGTGATGTATTAGCGAAATTTTCCCACTTCTTCCCTGGCTGGCCTCTCCTCAGAGATTTATTTCATCGGGATCGTGACACTTTTATTTTGAGGAATCTACATTCTGCCTAAGATATGAAGGAGATTACGAGGAGTGTACTTTTACTTTAAAATTCCATTCCAAATATTTGTGATTTGTCCTTGTGGCTATCCCCTTTTTGTCTGACTCGGACTTTGTTTTTTTTGTTGTTGTATTATTATTGTCATTAGGCATCTTTGAAAGTTTTAAACCATATCCTATTGAGACATAGTATATTTGAATCTAAGATGTAAAATGTTGAAGCATCATATGCTTATTTTGGATAATAAATAGGAAGGAATAAAGGCCTCCTTTGCATTTCTCAACCCTAGGTTTGCAACAGGAGAGAAAATGAAGTATTTGAACAGTGCAAGCTATGTGACTGCCAGAGAAGGCCATTGTTTTCTAGTAACTCAGTCTTCCAGTTGTTAAACAAAGTGACTTGGGCATTTGTACCCAAGTCATAAAGTGTTACTTGACAACCAATATGCACAAAGCATTATAAAAGGTAGAGTCCTCCTAGGTGTTTTCCTTTTGCATATCTGTGAGTTAATAGCTCATAAGACGAACATATTTTCTTTTAATTCTGACATAACTGGATTGTGAGTTGAAAGTTTGAGACTGTTAGCATTAGGACTGGTACTGTTCAATTCCTTCTGTTTCCTGACCTTTATGACTTAATTGGCAACACAGATAGTTCTAGTCCTATATTACAAAATAGGATTTCTCTGTCCTCCAAGTTATTCAGGACACTATGACCTTAAGCTCTCTGTTGAAGAAAAAAAAATATGTATCTAATCTTTCTTGGTAAAAAAAAAAAAAGAAATTCATGACGAACTTTTCCAAATAATGTAATTCATCCATCATCTTAAAACAGTGATTTTTAAACTATGTTTTGTAAGTTTGCATATGTATTGGTGGTAAGAGGGATTGAGAGTGATCCAGTTTGGCTTTAAGTCTACTGCTGTCTTTTAACCTGAAACCGCCATTCTGTATTATGTATTGGATTTTTATGTAAAAATTCTCATATTAATAGTAGATTTCAGGGCAAAAATGTTGGAAAATTGCTTTAACTATTTCAAATTGTATTCTTTTTATTTTTAGAGATTTTTGTCTTAGGGTGCGTGCACTTGCTGGAGAGAGAAAGACAGAGACAGTGAGAGGAGAAGTAGGAAATCACCACCCCGCCCCCACCAAGGGGGATGGTCATGCCACAATCTCTTCTCCTCCATTTTCCTCCCAAGATCTTGGGCATGCACACACATATGGCCGCATGAGTTTCAAGCCACTGAGTCCAGAACTCAACCGTAGTCAACCATGTGGGAATCTAGCAACGTAACCTTTCTGCCATCTGCTAGTTCCTCAAATTATATTCTTTATTATTATTATTATTTTAATTTATTTTATGCATTCAATTCACTATACATCACTGCAGCTTGTAAAATGAATTTACCCAACATGAATATACGTCATACCAGTCCAGTTGAAGATATCATACATGTTATCACTGACAGATAGTCCTCCATTTCTGTGTCCCTTAGATATCTTGGCTCTCTGTTTTTCTTCTTGATCAAATTGTAGTGTTTTTTTCTTGGACAGGTTTTTGCTATAGGGCACGTACGCTTGCCAGAAAGACAGAGAGAGACAGAGAGACAGAAAGTGAGAAATCACCCCCCAAGGGGGATGACCACACCACAATCCCTTCTCCTCTTTTCTCTTCTCGGGATCTTGGGCACACATGCACACGCATCCGGCGTGAGTTTAAGCCACCGGGTCCAGAACTTGAACTGCGGTTGGCTCCATGGGAGCCCAGCAACATAGCCATTACACTCTCAGCTGGTCCCCCAAATTGTATTCTTAAATCAAGTTCAACAAGATATTTTTTAAGTCTCCATTACAGAAATGTCTAAATGGAATAAGAAATCTATATTCATCAAATTGGCAAATTTTAATTTTATGAATTTTGTTAGTGATATTGTCCCTATATAACACTGTATCCCCCTTTTTAAAGGTGCATAGGAGACATTTGTTTCTATCAATTCTAGGAAAATGGGGCTTTCCTGAGCCCAGTTTTTTGCTTGTTCTTTGTGTTCTGTCTTTATCCTATGGAGACTGTGAATTGTGTAACCTTTTATGCGTTATTTCCTTCTTGCTATAACCACCTAATTTAAAAATCAAAATATTAACAGCTATACAGTTTTACATTGTTTTTATTATTTTTAACCCCAGTTTTTCCCTGACCCACGTTTTTATATATAGATGATGCCAACCTAAGATTGTTTATTATTGATTCATATCGTATGTTCTATCCTTATCTGACAAAACGGGTTGCCTGCTGTTTCTGTAAAAAAATGATAACATGGGGAACCAGCAGTTAACATAATGGCTCCCACGTAGTCGACTGCGGTTCACGTCCCGGGCCCGGTAGCTTAAAACTCACGCCAGGCGCGTGTGCGTGCGTGCCCAAGATCCTGAGAGGAGAATGGAGGAGAAGGGATTGCGGCGTGACCATCCCCCCTGGGGGGTGATTTCTCACTTTCTGTCTCTAATGTCTCTCTCTGTTGGGCGAGCGCACGCACCCTATAGCGAAAATCTCTCAAAAAAATGATAATATGAATAGTAATAATACATATATGTAAGTAAAAACATCAGCTGTGGGACCAGCAGTTAGCATAATGGCTATGTCACTAGACTCCCATATAGTCGACCACGGTTCGAGTCCTGGACCCGGTGGCTTAGACTCACGCCGGGGGCCTGTGCATGGGGGC